CTATTGGTAGAAAACAAGCATGGTTTATGCTCATTAATGGCTGCATTGTTTTGGTGATTGTTTCAATCCAGAAACGGGAAATAAGTGAGAGTGCTTTTAAAAAATCTTTGTAAAGAGTGAAAGTATACTTCCATCCTTTTGGAATCTTACTGAATTTGAGAGAGACATATGCAATCTTTTAGCATTTATTTCAGAAGTGTTTCTTAGCATCTTCACTGCATGACAGTCTGGCTGTGCTTTGTCATACCGATAACCTTGCTGCACTGCTTCTGCTTTCCTTTCATTAGGCTGTCAATTCAACCTTAGCATGAAGTACAATGGGTGGCTCGTGACATTGATTTTCAGCAGCATGAATCTAGGATAATAAGTCAGGTGTGGAGGAGATGCTAATGATGACACATACGAGAGAGTTTCAGGGTTTCCTACTAATCCCTTCATAATCTTCCTTCCTTCCTTCCTTCCTTCCTTCCTTCCTTCCTTCCTTCCTTCCTTCTTCCTTCCTTCCTTCCTTCCTTCCTTCCTTCCTTCCTTTCCTTCCTTCCTTCCTTCCTTCCTTCCTCCTCCTCCCTCCCTCCCTCCCTCCCTCCCTCCTCCCTCCCTCCCTCCCTCCCTTCCTCCCTTCGTTCTTTCTTTTTCTTTCATTATTTCGTTCTCTCTCTCTCTCTCTCTCTCTTTCTCTTTCCTTCTCTCCTTCTTTCCTTTCTTCTTTCCTTTCTTTCCTTTCTTTCCTTTCTCCAGAATATGGTGATAATTTACAATGATAAAGCATGGAAACACCATAAAACAGCCAGTGAGCATTTGCTTTATAGGTGTTATTATATCATGGAGTCATTATAAAGATTAATATGAAGCTGATATGCCTTTTATATTGACTACTCTTGCCTCAGAAGAATCTCTTTCCTTTTCCATTTTTTGACTCATGTTGCTCCAGCAGTAAAAAACCTCTTTAATGACCGTGTTGTTTCACAGCACAGCCCACTAAGAACTCGACCAAAGGCTGTTCTGAGCTTATTTTCTAGAGCAAGCAGAGAAACTTTTTTGCTACTCCCTCGACAAACTCTAGCTTCCCAACAAAATAGCTGGAGTTAAATTCATTGCCCTGTCAGCCTGCTGAGTGCAAAATATGTTTCGATTTTGCAAGTTCTCTTTCTTGTAGCCTCTGTCTCTCTGAATTGGGTGGCTACAACTTGTCACCCAATAATCATCTAGTGTGTACATTGAACTGTTACTGCTAGGTGTTGCAGCTCTGATGGTGCCAGTCTAATGTGCAAGCTTACAGGGCGAGTCTGATTTGTCTGAAACACATCAAGACTGTCACCAAGGTGCAGCCTGACAGTAAGACACGTGTAAAGATTCTTTGAATACACAGATACATAAAGGAGATCCTTCTCAGATGTGCAGCACACACATTGGTCTTTACACACTTACTTAAGTATTCTTTTACTTAAAAAAAAAAAAAAAAAAAAAAAAAGCTTGATCTTTGTGTTCCCAGTTCCAATACAAGGAAGTGTTTTGATGCATGAATGGCACACGAAAAATTCTGCAGACCCTGGTGGAAAGGCTGATGCTCTAATTGCTAACTATTTGCTTAGGCCACTGTGGGAGTTGGGCAAAGATCTTCAAACTTCTTTTCCTATAAACCAAATATATTACTGTCATTTTCATGAAGAGTGCCATGAGACAGTAAAACACGGTGACCCTACCAGGAATCAGTGCATGTTTTTGGTACTTCCAAAAGAGTCAATTAGCTCACACAGTTCTCTCTCCCCTGTTGCCTCGCCATCACACTGGTTACCATATTTTCTAAAGCATCATTTAACAGTAATGATAACATAGTTTTATATCACAGAATACCCCAAGTTGGAAGGGACCCACAAGGATCATCTAGTTCAATTCCTGGCTTCACACAGAACCACCCAAAACTCAGACCCTATGTCTGAGGGCATTGTCCAAACACTTCTTGAACTCCATCAGGCTCAGTGCTGTGATCACTGCTTTGGGGAGCCTGTTCCAGTGCCCAACCACCCTATGGCTAAAAGAAGAAGCTGGCAGGGTGTTTGTGTTAGTAAGTTCTTTAGTTTACTGATATGAAATTACTTCCCACTTGAAGGAATACATGAACTTAAATACTTCTATTCTGTTTTTTAAACATCTTTCATGGTGGTCTGGCATTTATGCTGTCCCCAAAGATCGCTCTAGTTAGTGATAAATTTCTGAAGGATCCCGTTTAATCTTGGACTAGGGGCGTGACCAGACAATTATGTGCCAACATGTAAACATGTATATATTTGAGCTATGATCAACATACTTTGTATGCCTAGTGTCATGCATGTCATTCTCAGCTGCCCCCAAAGTTTTTGTTTTGAAACCCTCATCATGTTTATGAGCCTGAGACTGTTTTCAAAATTATTGAAAATGCTCTGAAATATCACTAATAATATACAAAGAGCCCATTAAAAGCAGTGGCTACATTGCTTTTTTTTTTTTTTTTTTTAAATGACACAGGTGAATTGTTCTGTTAATGAGATGCATATTACTTAATCTAAGATGACAAACAGTATGCTGTATTATTACACCTTTGAGTATCTTAGCAAGGTTTGAATGCAGGCAATTAATTGCTTTTTATTTTCAGGGGCCAACAGTTTTTTGGTTTTTTATTTTTTTTTGTGACAATTGTATTAGCCAAAACACAATATTGCTTCCATTTCCCTGAACTCCAGAGAGCAGGCAGCTTGTACAGAGATCATTGAGGTTTACAGCTGTTCTGTGAGCTCAGAGAAGCTCAGGCTGAAGGTCTTGTTTCAAATCTTGTATAGACTTAAATCCTTAATCTTAGTATTCTTAATCTTAATACCTAAAATCTTAATATCCCCAAATATTAGATACCTGAGATTTAGTCTTTTAGTTCAAGAAGACTTCTACTAGAACTGATTTGAATTACAAATTTACAGCACATGTATTTCATTTAAAGGAAAAGTAACCAGTCAGCCAATCTTAATGAAAAGGAGTTCATTTTACATTAATAAAAAATAAATTTTGTATTGCTCTGAAGAGCTAGTATGATGGCGGTATTCCAAATGCCACAGGTGTCCATATAGTCACTGAGAACAATGTGTGTGCATGCGTGTGTGTGTCCTGGCTGGCAAAAAAAAACTGCTTCTGGAGTTCAGATCTCTCAGCCATCACTTTTATTTGCCTTATGTTCTGAGTAAGTATATGATTCATCTGAGGTAGTTTTACACAATAGGTACATTTGAATTAGAATGCCATCTTCACTCTTTATGTGCTTTGTGTATCTGCCAAAAAATGTTGAGTGCAGGGATTTTGCAATGAAATGTTAGGATACATGCTGAAAATAGATTTCTAACCAATTCGGTTTTCATGAACACTCACCTTTTCATTTTAGGAACTGCTACAAAGAAAGTATCTGTAAGGACATTATAATTTCCTCACAGAAACAATGTATAAACACAGCATTGGACAAGAGAATTTCAATATCTTGCGTGTTGCTACATACTTAAATTTTCAAATATTTTGTTATCTTTTGGGGGAAAGCAAAAGATAAATTAAGCCAAACAATGGGCTCTGTAGATCTGTTTTTCATAACAATGCCACCAGCAGCAGAGTGCAGTGAGCCCACAGTTTTATGTGCATTTCAGATGAGACAGCATTGGCAGAAAAAGTAGTCTTTGGTCCTTCCTCTGTCCTCCATCTCCTTTTCTTTACTCCCAGATACTCATCAGGCATCCTCCACATGCTGGAAAAAAAAAAAAAACATTCATGTAGCTGTGTAATGGAGAGATCAAACTGTGTGAGGTGCTGAAGAAGCTTGTCTTTCTAAAGCTTTAATCTTGATCAGTCTCCCAGTGCAGTTCACCACGCAGCCCCGCAGAGGTTTTTGCTGACGGTGGGGAAGGGGCAGGGCAGTGCTGGGAAAGCCTGGCAGCTTCTGTGGTGCTGGCTGCTGGTAGTTTTCTTGCTGCTGTTCCCTGGGGAAAGGCATGGCAGCCTCTGTGCCCACTCTCTTTATGTTACAAGCTTCTTACAGATGAAACACATTTTCCCTGATTCAGGAAAAAAAAAATGACAAAAAGAGCATCAGGTATTACAGACAGTGAAGTTTCAGGAAGACACAGGAAAGACACAGGTTTTCCTTTCAGGAAAACACATCTGCAGGAGTATTTTGTGTATTTTCACTCTATTGTGATACCTGCTTCCAAACATTCCTGACCTCCTTTCTATCATTTTAATCCCAGTTCAGCAGAGCATCTCAGCAGGAAGACGTGTCTTGTATTGCACTCCAGATTTTGGGATAAAGATCTCAGTCAGCATTCACTCGAGTCTGCACTGGGGCTAAAAGCCAGGTAGCGCCACTAGTGTCATGCATCCACAGGCTAAGTACAGTGGCTGAGGAAATCCCACATGATCATACACAATAAGGACACCAGAGGAGGACCTGTGAAGCTTAAAGATAGGGGATCATGAGCAGGGGATTTGGTGTAACACTAGGGACAGAGATGAAATTATAGAAAAAAAAGAAAACCCCAAAGCAACTGGGTGGATGAGTTGTAAGGGTTTGGTCACAGGGATGGGAAAGGAGCTCCTCTGCTGTTCAGGGATGTGCTGCTCTGTCCATAGTGTGTCAGACGTCAGATGGCATAGGACAGGATCTCTGACCCCAAATCTCTATTGTTGGAGGCAACTACACCAGGTAACACTTCTCAGAAGTGGTCAAATTCCATTTTAATGAATGAGGTCCATTGCCTCCACTTCTCTACTAGAAAGCTCTTCCAGTTTCACACTGCCAGTGGTTAGAATTTTTATTTACAGCTGGTTTTACTCATTTTGCATCTACCTCAGTGCTCTTCTTTATCCTATCCCTCTCTGATATTACTCTGATCTATTTTTAGAGAGCCATCATGTCGTCTCACTGCATTGCATTCAATAGATTAAAGTAGTAAAAACTTTTTTTTTGTCACCCTTTCATAAGATAGGCTGTCCACTCCTTCAGATATTTCTGTGACCCCCCTCTGCACCTGTTCCAGGCTAAATCTTTCTTGAGCCTGGATGGCTGGAATGGTACAGGGTGATCCAGAGGAGGTTTCACTTTTGCTTCATACAATGACATTAGTATTTGCTTTCAGCTCCAGCAGATATAATTCACCTCGTGCATCTGAGGATCGTGTTTAGTACTGCTTTCACTGTTGCATCATGTTTGCAGCTCGGTTATTGTGCTCTATCATTACTTAAATACATCCATCTTTTTCTTATTTGATGATCATCAGCAAACAAGGTCCCAAAATACATTATAAACATCTGTTACTAATATCTGTCCCAGAACTACCTCTCCCAAATAATGTGACTTTGCACTTAATGCTATTGCAGTTTATCCTATTCCTATTATTCCACTCAAGGCCATACAGGTCTCCTTTTATCTGACACAGTGTGTGATCCAGTGTGACCTTTCACGGCTACCTCGCCTGGGCAGGACTTGAAATGAAGAGTCTTCTGGGATGCTACTGGAAGAAATAGATAAGATAGATTGGTGTGTGAATTGAGGGATAGTTACCTGTTGGTTAAAAAAAAAAAAAAAAAGAAAGAAAGAAAAAAAAAGACTATTAAGAGACTGTGAATGAAGTCCTTTATTACAACTGCTTTTCTGTAGCCTCCTGGTGAAGTTTAATTAGAGTGCATGCTGGTGAAAAAGCCTTTTTTCTCTGAAGCCATCAGGGTGAGCATCCATTTCTACTAAACTTTCAAAAGTAAAGTTAGAGAATCTGCTGTGCTCTGAAAAGGAAGAGGTGCTTCAGTTCTTGTTTTCTGTATACAAACCCCATGCCTTTACCAACAAAACAACATGCTAACACACGCTCCTTTCAAAGGAAAATGTCCAAAAGGGTCGATTTTGATTTGACTGCTGAAGTAAAATTAGAAAAACACTTCCCCAAACCATAATGTCATGAGTTGTATGGAAAGAAATTGCTGGATTTGTGTCCTGAGGCTAATAATGACTTATTTGCTGCCAGGAAACTGAAAAGTCTGATACCACTAATGAAGCTGAGGCACACACAGAAGACAGTGCAAATGAAGGGACTCATGAAGAGTCTCAGTCTGCTCAGTCACCATCAGAAGATCAACAGGTAATTTTTTCCTTTTTTGCTTTGTGATTTGAGGATTTTACCTGTGCTGAGCTCAAGAAATGGAACCCTGCAGGCCCTCCTAATGTATCTTAGGGTGGGAAGACTGATTGCAGAGTGCTCCTGTTTGTCTTTTGGATGCATTTTCTTTGACATCATGGTGATATTAAACAGATAAAACTCCAGGGAACCCTGCTCTGAATTATGGATAACAATTGTCTTTCTTTAGCAGTTTCCCTTTGCTACTTGCTGTCATATGCCCTTTGCCACTTGCTTTCATATGTTTTTTTTTTTTTTTTTAACATTCACTTGGATCTCAACTCTCATTATGGAGAATAATTTAGAACTAGACATCTGAGTCCTATCCATGTGGAAAAATTGGCTTATGTCAATGACCAGCATCTGCAGTGCTCGTAAATCTATTTGTTAATGTTTGCTGTCAGGTTCCAGCATTGACTGCTGCCATGGCAAGCCATATCTGACAGTGTCTTCTCTAGCCCATGCAGGAGCCCCTGCAGAAATGGAGACCACTGTTATCCTTCCTGCGTGCCTTATGCTGTGATATCAAAGCCACACAGGCAGATCTCAAGCTGCAGTGCAAGAGATTCTTGGACAAAACCATCTCAGTTATTTCAACTTTCTAAAATAATAGCTGCAAAACATAACATTTACATTCCCCTGCAGTTAGCTGACATCAGTAGTAGTTATGGTTGAAAGTTATGATCGTGTGAAAAGGGGCAATTCTCTTGTGTAGTTTTCTTCCTCAGTGGGATATTTGTGTCACTGGCCAGGGTCTAGACCAAGTAGAGACGAAGCAGAAATGGGCCCTGTGTCTGGAGATAGGAATCCTGATACTTTATTTCTCCTGCCACTGTGCCAATTTGGCATTTAAGGATGGCTTTGTTTTGATCTTGCAGTTTCAGGTGACTCTCTTCCCAAAGAGGCAAGCCTACTGCTGAATCAAGCACTTACACACCTCAAAAATACACTTTTTGTGTGTGAGTGTGTGTGTGTAATATCAGTAACAAATGCATAATCTCTCACTAATTTATTTTTTTTAAATAAAAATAAATGTTGCAATGTTAAAAATAGATGCTGCAATGTTTTTCCAGAGGAAGTACCTCACTCTTTACAACTTTCCCCATTCCCAATTTTAACAATGACTGAACCATTAGGCTGGAAATGCATCCTTTTGCACAGCCTCATGTAAGTCTCAGGCACTGGAAGTCCCATTTTACATTTCAAAGTTGATCCTACATGATGATGAAAAGAGACACAGTCCTCAGTGGGAACTGAAATTTCTCCTTAAATTGTATCTAAGCACTTTTCATGTCTCTATAAATTCAGCCAGCACATGAATGCCATCAAATACCTTTTTCTTTTAAGAGAAATGCCAACTTTTAAGAGAAAACCAGCATAAAAGCAGTAGTGCATCCCCTGGCTGGATTAGATTACCTGCCGTTCTGGCTAGCAATCTACTCTAATGTTTTTCAAATGAGAACAAACTGCTGGAACACGTCTGCAAATATGTCAAGCAGCTGTGTATCGAGGCTTGGTGATGACAGTGCAACACCGCTTCTATACAACAAGCACCTTGCTCCATTTCTCACGAAACAGATAGGAGCTGTAAGTGGCAAACATTGTCCTTTAGTTTTACAGGGAGGGGAGTGGCAGAGGAGTGAACACTGGGCAAGAGGGTGCCTTTGAACTGGTAGTTCTGTCGTTATGAGGGCATAAAACATGATTCAGTCTTCCAAGTCCTCCTCTTTCACCTGCAATGGTCTTGGCAATGCTGAAATGTTCTTCATGGTTTTACATAAGGGGGAAGAAAAGCCTTCCTGAAATCGCCTGGCTCTGGCACTCACCTCCATTGTGCCAGCAGTGTACTAGCTCCTAGGGGAACAAAAAAGCACTTTTTCTGTTCCTGTCCCACTCATTGTTAGAGAGTATACTCACAATTGCGGGCCGCAAGGTATTAGTAGCTCATGCCAAGGATGAACAAAAAGCCATCTTTCATCCTGTTCTACCGCCCACTTCCATGTCACGTAGGACAAATCACTTCAGTGACGTGGCATCTGTCTGCCTTGCCACAGTTCATTGTAATTAGCACTTCTGCATGGATGGCATGAATCATTCTTTAGAAATTCTGGTATTTTCATTCACTACGGTGAGCATGCAGAGGACTGGTTTAAATGAGAAGAATAACTTTGAGGTAACTACGGTGGGATGAATTCTGTCTTTTGTCTGAATCTCATTTTTTCCCCTACAAAAGAGAGCTAGAATTACATTTCCTTATGTGGCCAGGGTTTTATGAAGGCAAATACATATAAAGATCATGAGACTGCCGTTGGAGTATCTCCATTGGATGTTGGGCCCTAAAGGACACATGAAGTATCAGCACAGTATTTTTAGTATTTCCCTCTCCTCCTCTCATTGTGCAGCCCAGCACGTCTTGTTTGACAACTTGACCACACTGAATAGATGTTTTCTGTTTGCTCTACCCACACAGGTTTTATTTTATTTTTTTTATTCTGGCTTATTAAAAGTTGATCTCTGTGTACCATGTTCTGAAAGGGTGACCTTTTTATCAGTGGCCCGTGGTGTTTTGCAGCCACGCGCTTTCATCTTCTGAACTATAGTCAGGTCCCATTTGGAATGTCAACTTCTTTTCACAAACTCTCAGATCAAATTGTAAAAATATAAAAAAATATCACAATTGTATGTTCAGCTTCTGAATTAATATATAGATGTGAAATTATTCGTGGCATTTTGGCCTTATTTAGCACTCCATTTAAAGCAAGGTGAAAAGTGACTCTCCTGTGTAGGGCATAACCCAGCCTGCTTTTCTCCAGTGACTCTGCAAGAGAATTGCAAGTGCTATGGAAACATTCTAGAAGACTCTTGGCAATGTAAAGGTATCTCAGTCTTTGCCAATGAACATATGACAGATGGCAAAATTAACTGTGGCTCTCTCAATTGTGGAGCCTCACGGAGGTCCCAGGTTTCAGAAAGCTTCTCCAAAACCTCAGTGGTGGGGCCAGTGTGGGTCCACGTGGAGGCTGCACCCCTCCCATACTGCTTCTGCTGCCCTTGATGGAAGAAGCAGGAGTCCAGAAGCCCCATCTCTGTCTCAGGTAGGACTTTGGGGAAGCCAGCAAGAGACCCCAGCCCTCTGAAAAACAAATTTCTTCCATCAGAAGCTGCTTCCTGGAAGCAGAAGGGATAAGTGCACAGTGCAATAGGTTGTTCTTCATGCACCTCACGTTAGACCTGCCAGCAGCTTTTCAGATTCAGGAACTCCAGCTCCTTATTCACATGTGTGTTCAGGAAAGCCCAGAGCAGATGTTGAGATAGAAATCTCTTACACAGGGACTGTAGTAAGGGACAGGAACAGCTCTCAGCCTGTGTTACCAAGGGACGGGTGCACTTGGATTTCTTTTGATTATAATTTCTTTCTCACTTTAAACCTGTTGCATTCTTTCCTTCCCTAATCACTTCATCAAGCTTATCCTTCTTAATAAATAGGACATCCCCCTAATCTTTTTTTTTTTCCTTTTTTTTTTTTTTTTTTTCCATTCCTAATCCCCACAGAGATGGAGAAGGTTGAGGAACTATTTTGCTTGAATATAGTGCCCCTTTCCCTTAATTTGTCCTTTCGTTTTTGAGTTTTTGGAGGAAAAGGCTGTGACCTTCTATGCACTTATTTTTCTTTATTTTTACTATATGATTTTAACTTTAGCTTTTAGCTTGGGGGGTAGAATCTTTTTTTAAGTGGTGTCCCAGTTAAATCAGTTTGTGGTACAGATTAGGCTCACTTCAGGGCAGAATTATTTTAGAAACATGTTCAAAAATCATATTAAAATGCAAGTATGTATCCTGTCTCCATAATTCCCCAGGCCATATATAAACCCTGGCACTGCAGCTCACTTCCTTATCTCCACTCATTCTGTGTAAAGTTGTAACAACCACTCACACCTCCTGCATGGTGCTGCTGCGTTTGCCCTTTCTCTTTGAATTTTTGTGAAAGATTAGCTCTTCTCTCCAACAATCAGCTTGGTATCTAACATCAAATATTATTCACTGTACATTTATATTTTCTCTCTTTTATCCCTCTTCATCACTTTGACTTGATCTACAGTCCAAAGCCAGTCTGCAGTATTTCTTATTCCTCAGTACCGTTGAGCCAAGGCATCTGTTCCAGCCTACAACAGTTAACAGCATTGCAAGCCAGATCCTGAGAGACAATATATAACATGGATAGATCTCTGTATAATTTTGATTTAACTTGGATTTTGAAGAGCAGCTAATTACCACCACCACCACCACCACTCCCAATGAAAAAACAAAACTCAAGCTCTAATGCTTTGCTTGCAAATGAAGCAGATTTAACTGGAAGTAATTGAGAAAAAGGGAGATGTGTCTCATGATTTTGTGACCCCTTTTCAAAGTAAACGCTTAGCATAACTGTGCCTTGTGAGCTAATCTGGAGGACTTTGTCCCAGAATAAATCCACTGAATTCCATGTAATTTCCTACATTTAATGTTTACTTTCCCTGTGCTTTGCTTGTATGACCTCTGAAGTTTTCTTTTTGGTCTATCTTTTAAACTTTTTTTTTTTATATATCTTTCACTTAGGAAAACAAGGAAGAAGATGCAGCAACAGGGGTATAGTATGCTGTTTGGACATTTTGCTTTCAGTGTTTGTTTGTGTGCACTTCATTCCTTTCCAGTCTCATCAGCGCTCAAAAGTTAGCAAATTCTTATTCATGAAACTGAATATACCAGTTATATATTCCGCTAGAGAAAATTATTGGTCATAACATAGTCATACTTGGGACCAAAAATAGGTCAATAATC